AGAGAGAGAGAGAGAGAGAGAGAGAGAGAGAGAGAGAGAGAGAGAGAGAGAGAGAGGCAAGGGGAAGGGAGAAAGAAGAGCAGGGTAGAGGGAAAAAGGATCGGCAAACATGATAAAAGAAGGAGGAGAAGGAAGAGAGAAGGAGACAAAATAAGGGATCTCGATTTACCACCCCATGCTTAACAAGGCCTTCAATTTTTGCTTCTTAATGAGGACGTATCGTGCCGCCGCGATGTCCTTACGCGCGGCAAATGAAATTATCCTCGAAATAATCCACCGAAATAATCCATTCGGCTGATTACGCCCTAAAAGCCTACGTTCAAAAATGTCAATAAGATCTTATCTGTATTCCTCGACGTTCCCACAAACGGCTTCTTGCGATAAAAACGCGACTATCGCAAAAGTAAACGTAACCAGAAATGTTGTCGAACTTACCGAAGTCAGCATCGGTGCTCGAAGACACCTCAACACGGATTGTCGTCGAAAAAGGCAACAGCGTATTAAAGGATAAAGCGGCGATGGTACATATTGAATTACGTGAGTCGATACTAATTTTGCAAAATATCATAATAATTTGATTGACACGGAATTTAGAAGCTATTCGTGTTCTTCAGGCATGCCATTTATACTAGTTTTGTTACTCAAATCATCCCTCGCTTCATAGTGGAGTAAAATATAGGAGCATCGATTATGAGATAAACACAGATACGGAAATATGGAATATAATCTTATTTCATCTGTAAAGCATTACACTCTGATGACAATTGCTGAAAGTTGTTATAAACTTGTTATATATAACGCTGAACTCTAGACGAGAAACGTGCATGGATATATAAACAATTATCTGTTTTTATTTTGTCTGAAAATTAGACAATGTGATAGTCGAATTGCTCTTGCTTGATCAAAGGGATACTGAAGCTGAAAACAGGATACTGACATTTTTCTGCGTAAGTTCACGTCGTATTGATTATACAGAATTAGAAATGCTCTTACGCAATAAGAGTATGTGCAAAAAAATAGGAGCATCGCTCCATATGTGACGAAGACGGAAAAAAATTTGTAATGTAAGGTCTCAAATTAGGCAAATATTACCGATGTAATATCTGCCTAATTTAAAAGTTCTGCAGCTTGTACATATCGAAAATATGGATGCTCCAAACAGAAAAATTTGAAAGAACATTGCTGTATCTTTGTATCTGAATTAAAAAAACTTGAGAATATGTGAAAAGTTTGCAGAAAAATATCTACATATGCATGGTTTTTCTCTGAATATGGTAAAACAAAGCAATATACATTTATGTAAAATCTGTACAAGAAATATGAAAAGTATAGCGTGATTGTGTTAGTGACGATCATCTCTGTGTTATCGACATTGTCTGAGTTTGTCATCGACTTTAACATCCTTAAAGAAAGTTTACTTTAATAATGTTTTACCGTTTATAATTGCCATTTCTAACTTTCTTAATTACATAGGAATTATGCAACGTAGTATCGCGACGCCGAATACATAATGTTTCATTGCTATTTCTAATCTTAATGGAAACTTAATAGGAAACTTATGTTTATTATGTAAGATGTATTGATAATATAGTCCATTACAAAGACAAGATAACAAAAAATTCGAAGAATTTGCATAAAAATAAGGCAAATTTTCTTCCGTTCCTTTCTATTGTATCATATATTAAGTTTTTGTTTTTCCATTTATTTATTTTTCGTATAAGAGGTATACATGACAATAAATAATTTTTAATAAATAATTATTTTTTTAATGTACAAAATAATTTGTTCAGTGATTATAAACAATGCTTTTTCAAATATAAGAAGATTTACATTCCATTAATTGTGTTTTTTACTTATACTCCTTGAATTTTCTTGACAGTCTATATTATCACCCATTTTTTATTTCTTGGTTTTCTAACTTGTTTATTAATATGTAATTAAAGTTTGAATACTTTGTTTTATTGAACCTCATAGAGATAACATGTCTCTCAATATTTTTACAGTGTTAGATAATTGAAATATATATTTAAATTGTAATAATGTTGATCTGAAAAAATATACTAAAAAATATTTTTATAAATAAATTTCTCTCTCTCTTTAATTTTATAGCACTGGCAAAGGTATTCCAACGACCGCCATAGGCTAAGATACAAGTCAAAAACATGAAACAGATGAAATTTCTTAATGAGACTCTCATCATATTTTAAGAAGGAGCAAATAAGAAATGCACATTTTATACGATGCTTTAATTCTGATGAGTACGATTGTTTCGATTAATTAACAAACGATCGCTAATAAAGGACGGATCGTCAGTAAAACATGAAAATTTATGTGACTCCAGTGCGTCTTGATTCTATCATTCCTATATTTCACAGTATTTTACTTCTTAATATTTCCACGAAACCACCGACGCGGCGAATCGTCAAAGTAAATTCCTCGCATGATGATGATTCCTCGCAGTCGGATGCGTAAAGAAATGAGTAAACCACCTTAACGAGAGAAAAGAAAGAAAGGATATCGTGCTGTGTTGAAACATCTTTCGAATATGTTGAACGAATGTTAACTGATAACGATGGCGTGACGCATATATATCACAATTAGAGGAACATAAGAACATAAGCGGCTTCGAATCTCTTGGGACCGTCAATGTCATATTGTAGCGTGAACGTGCAGTTGTCAGCGGAAATTAGGGATGTACGTCCGTCAGCGTAACACAGTTGCGTAAAACATTATAAAATTGCAGAGAAAGGCACGCAATTTTTGTTCTTTTCTTCGTGGTTTCGAAATTCACACAATGATCTTACTAAAGTAGTTTTGCGCAACTGCTGCTACGCGCAAGATTAGCAACTAGACGGGGAGCGAACGCACGTAACCAACCCCTAAGGCGATCTGCGCAAGCTCTCCGCAAACACTGCTTGAGATTGATAACGGCCGCATCGTGGCTCAGAATCCATTATTTTAATACCTGCAGCCGCAACAAAGATACATCACGTATTTCGCATTGTACCCTGTCCAAGAACAGATTAACTCATTCGTTTTTGTTTAAGTAGACTTTCATGATTATCACGATGTGAGACACAATCGATGATGGAAACTTTACAATTCTTTTAATTATATTTACTTTCTTAAAGTGAACTAATAAAAATGCTTCTGATTTAATCGATAAAAAAAATATTCAACTAATGATCAATGAGAATTAACTGGTTTTTAATGAAAGCATTCCCACTTTGCCGCTCCGTCTTATTTCTCGTCGATTTTGTGGAACAAGATCAAGTGGAAGCAAGATTTCATCGCAAGATTAGTAATAAACAAACTCATTATATGTCAGTACTAAATCTAACTTTTTTCCATTTATGACGACA